AGTGGTCCATTCCCAGGAACCTGCCGGATCCTGCACCTTTACCTGTGGATTCTCTGAAACTAGATAGTAAGGTTACTCACCAGATGAAACATTGCCTGCATATTCTTCTCGAGCATAGGATCCTCCTCCAGTTCCGCTGCCCATGTAACCCGAGTAGCCTCCAGCGCCCATATAGCACGACTTGTCACCCATAGCTTCCTGCGGAGTGTACGAAGTGGAGACAAGAGAATGAATTTGCACACCGCTCTCACCAGCTTTTATATGGCCAGAGATGTTGTTTGCGGCAATGAGAAGAATGATTGCGCTACGGATAGCGTCAAAGTTGAACGGTTAGTCTAAAGGGATCACTCAAGAATATAGGTTGCTTTGCTATGCTCAGAAGGATGGGGAGCCCCGATGTTACACTTCTTCCCAGACTGTTACTTGCCCAAGCAGTAGTAGTCATACGGGTATGGTTCGTTACAAGAAAATTCCGGTGATAAATGTTAGCAGCACCTCATTTTGGCTGGTGACCATGAAACTGGTTGTTCTGAGGCCTTGGGACTCCTCCACGGGTTCAAATCCTGGTACTAGGTGGGTACGGGATGTTGCTCGTTAGCAGTCTTTTCGGTGTTGGCGGGAGAAACAGCCGGGTTCCACAAAGCGATAATAAACTCCAGCATACCATCGATATACCTTTCCTGCTCAGAATCCTTCCCAGATCATCGCTCCTTCCCTCTATAGGAGATATGTCATGGATTCCGAGCTCAAACTGTCAAGGCAATCCAGTTTGTTTTATATGGCCGATTTGGAAGTATATCTACCAAGACCTACCACCCCTTCATAGAAGGTGAGGAAATGGTTAGAAACAGTTTGATAGGACTTCCAGGATCACGCTGATAAGGGAAATGTCAAAAGGCGAACTTATGGACCTAGTTAGTTACCTCACAACCACTGCTGGCCCTTCTATAAGTACAAATGTCTCACGTTGTTTTCAGAATGTTTGAGGCGGTGTTAAAAAAATAGGTTATCAATCTACAGTGTCAGAGGAGAGCATAACCTTGCAAATTGGTCGTATTCCTGCGCAAAATCTTATACTGGATTAGCATACTGTCCAAGACTGCGTCCGGGATTGACGGAGAAGCGGACTCAAGGAGCGGCGTCGTTGGCGCTCCCTTCTTTCTCCTGCCTGGAGAAGAGCAAGCCAATGTTATGGTTCCCTGAAGCTGTGGCACGGAAACCTTGGATAGAAATCCTCTCAATAATAATCGCTCGCCGGTTGACACAGTCGTTTCTTTGGAGAATTCATGAGAGGAAAGCCATTTTGCATGGTCTATCAGATCGAGGTAAGATAGACAGTACGGTCCACAGTAGTATGGATTGCACCGTTTTCTTGTCTTGACGGTGCCTTGCGAGGCTGAAGCTGCCAGTAGCCAAGGCAACGCTATCTCCAGCACTGAATAAACCCCACGGGAAACAGGCGCAACGCTTATATCTCTGGCTGCCGTGAACCGAGATCATGTCCCGAGAGCGCCGCGCGCCTTTAGCATTGCCATGCGCTAAGGCATTGTTCACAGTCTCCAGGCCCTGACGAAACGGCGGTTGGGAGAAAAGCAAAAAATAGTCATCGATCGGAGAATCGCCCAACCGTCCAACCGCCGCGGTTGGGCGGTTGGGCGAAAAGCCAATACGATCGCGTAATCGATTTCGCGGCGAAAAAAACGCGCACCGCGATGGAGCTAGCGTTTTGTCGAAGGCGAAAAACGTCGCGGTTTGGCGAAACGCCCGTCGATACGTACCAAAACCCTTTCGCCCAACCGCCAGGCTCTTCGCCCAACCGCCAGTCGATATGTATCGAAAGCTTTTCGCCGAACCGCCGCGTTTCAGAGAAACGCTGGACCGCAGAGTGTGAACAATGCCTAAGGCAAAACAGCGTTGCACCCGCCATCAGTTAGGCGCAAGCAGCGTATTTTCCCACCGCCAATCACAGACCAGTCTTGCGGTCGCCTATGTCGGTCAAAGGCGATTCAGACGGGCGTATGTGCCATGATAGCAACAGATCGTGTAGAATGTACTAGACACGCCACCAGCTCAGCGTTGCTGTGTGATGGGGTACATCGAAGCTGTCCAGCCCGACAGCCAGCTATCACCTGGCGGGCCGGTGAAGCGTCATACCACGTTTGTCCGTCGAGGTGCAGTACGGCTGTTGCGTTCTGTACGTCACCAGTTGAGGCCAGTTGCCGGTTGGCTCACACAAAGAATGGGCTTTCGCCAACGATCCTACATACAGGGGGGGGGGGCAAAAAAAAGTCATTTTGCCTCCATGACTTTCAAGGCGCTATAAGTTACACTTTATTAAATTTTTATCGGACATTTTTACTACCATATTAAAGAGCACATTAAATACTATAACGATACTCCGCCACCTTCTGGAGGAGCGCCATCGAGAGATTCGGCCGCGCGAAAGTGAGTGGGTACCGGAGTTGAGCGAGATCGTTGATTTCTCCGCCACTGTAGACCACCCTGTTGAGCTCCGCCCGAACCGAGTAATTGAGGGGGTTTAGTTCAGGACCCCCGCTTGAATACTCCATCTTTTCCAGGTACTCAACGTTCTTCCATTCCAAGTAGGCGAAAGTTTTTCCAACGCCCTTCGATTAAATGTGTTGTCACCCAATCCTGTAGCAGTACAAAGTTTCCAAGAAGGTACGGGCGACGACATGAAGATGGGATATTCTCCTCGAGTTGCTCGATGTAGCCACCAGCGCACACCCTCAGTCTGGGGCCCACGAAGAAAATATCGGTTCATCCATTCCAGGTACGGCCGGTCCACCATCAACCCGCGCCTTGGTGAATGGGGTGAAGATGATGTCCTGGACCGTAGCGACGTTGCCGGAGCTGCTCGATGTTTGAGGTCTTGCAGATCAAGAGTACTGTCTCCAGGTAGCTATCCATGGGTGATTCCATTCAAGAAGTTCCGCAGCTGTTTGGAGGCCACGTGAATTCCAAAGGCGTTCTCCACTCAGGCCGCGACTGGAGATGACTTCATATTTTGGTGTACATGAAGGTGAATGGCGGCAGCCGGGCTCCTGCTTATAGAGGAAGATCTTGGGTATCTTCCGCCCTGGTACTCATATCCACTTCCTCTGTCTGGGCTGCGAAAACTTCGCTCATATGTGACTCGGCCGGAATGACTTTTTTTGCCCCCCCCCCCCCCTGTATATATGACTCGCTAAGTAGTATCTGCGTATGTGATATACGTACGTCTGTTTGTCCAAATTCACAGCGCCCGTCCAGGAGTGAGCATGGAGAACCTTGGTTCCAAGAAGTTGGTCTGAGCTGGACGGGAACACTATTGGGGGGTGACAGCATAAGACTCGATAAGAGGCGTTAGAAGGGGAAGGTCACCATATTGATAACGTGGGTGACAGCGTCAGCTAGCTCTTGATTCCAAGATATGATATAGGGTATGGCGTCAGCGAACATTGTTGCACGTGGTGACAAGAACTGTAAGGCTGCTGTTAGAGTTCCGATAAGAGCCAGTTAGAAAGGCATGTCACCGTATTCACAGCCGGGTCAACCATCGAGGGCGTTACTTTCAGCCATCGTGATAGAGGCGTGACATGGAGACATCAATACTTACTTGACTGGGATACTGAGACGCTCGTTTTCGGCCGGTTCTCTTCAGCACACACTTCCCTCTATTGTTTGCGATCTTGAGCGCTTTGGATCCGGTGTTGGTCTGCAGCTTCTTGGAGTTGCACCGAGGAGTCTCTCCAAAGGGTTGGCGCGCCAGCCTTGCCGCTTTGCCTTCTCTCGAATATCAGAGTGTGATGCCGATGCGTCCACCGGATCGTCCGTACGTGCTGAACCACTGCACCGAAATCTCTTCTTTTGTATTCCAGCGTATACTATGGCATCGTGAATGCCCTGACCATCTGAGCGGGCATATCTGTACTGCGCAGATTGCGACATCTCTGCTCTCGGCCGGTTGATATTCATTAGGGTCCGTTCCAATGCTCGTTGGGCACGTGTCAACATCAGCGTGGACGCCTTGTTCTCTGCCCACGTCTCAGATGCGTAACAAAGGTCAGGCAATTCTGTAGAGTCGAATAGAGCAGCTCGTATTTCCCAGTCCCAAATGAGTTGGTCTGCCTCTCTTATGCGTCCCATTGGCCGTCCATGCGCATTTTTTTGCGCTCATAATTTCTTCGCGCAAATTGTTGTTCACGGAAGAGTCGACCAAGGTAAGCGTATCGATAGGTATCCGGTAGAGCCACTTCCTTCAAGTATGACTGGTGACGCATCTGCCCACTCGTTGCGCATGACCTCGGTCTTGCTTCGGTTCATCGTGAGGCCAACACCTTTGCCAGCGTTGTTCAGTTCCTCCACCATCCGCTGTAGCTCTGCTGAGTTTTGACTGATAAGGACAATATCGGTCTGCGAATCGTAGGTTTGATAGCTTCTTTCCGTTGACGCTTGATGCCTTTATCGTCCCAGTCGAGTTGCAGCATCGCGTGGTTGAGTGCGGTGGTGAACAGCTTGGGAGAGATCGTATCACCTTGTCTGACTCCTTTTTCGATCGGCACTCGTAGCTTTCGTTGGAAAATGCGGATGGGGCAGATGTGTCCATGGTGCATTTTTCCAGCAATTTTATGCTACCACGCGTCGGACACAGCATGCGTGCCAGCTATTCCAATATAGAGTTTCAGTTCCACACTGTCGAATGCTTTCGTATAGTCGATGAAGCAGAGGAGGAGCGGCTGCTTGTATTCCTTGGTTCGCTCAATCAACTGCGTGACAGTATGGATGCCGTCCGATGCAAATAAGCTTTTGGCGAACCCGGCCTGTTCCACTGGTTGATATTCATCCAGTTGTTTCTCGAGCCTGTTGAGGATTACCTTCGTGAACAACTTGTATGGCTGCGAGAGGAGGGCGATGGGGCGGTAGTTCTTCATTAGGTCGCGCTCGCCCTTCTTGAACAGAACAACGTGTACGTCTTTCACTTGCGTCAGGACCTCGTGCTACGTCCATGCTACCTGTGCCTCTTGGCTGTTTATGACGGCTGCGGACGCCGACTCCAGAAAGTCTGCTGAGATGCGGTCAGGTCCTGGTGCCTTTCGCGGCTTCATTTGACGAAAGGCGTGCTCCACCTCCCACTCTTTTATCAGTGGGGCCAGCGTCCTGCGTAGGTGTAGGTATGCGCGAAACCGGCATTGTTGATCTGAAGAATCCGTGTAGAAGTTGACGGCGATCTCTTCTATCCTCGCTCTCGATGCCTGCGCGTCTGCGTTTATCGCATCTCGCATAACCGTGGTGACCGAGCGAGAGTCGTTGATGTCTCGACGACATCGTTTGAGACTCGCTCTCGCTTCCGCCGCTTCCTTCAGTCGAGTATTCTTGTAGCGCTGAATCGACTCCTTCACTGCGATGCGGCACGCTTTGTTGATCACGGCGCGCTCCAATGGTGTTGATGCAGGGTTACGATGGACGACAGCGCGTTGCTGCAGAAGTGGCGAGCCTTGTCGTCAAGCCCTGCCTTTCGAATCCGTCCTTGTTGTGATAGCGATGCCATAGCGCAATGTAGAAGTCCTTCTATGAGCATGGTATAGTCTTGCGACAAGTCTTGCGCCTCCTGCCACGTGTAGTGAGCGGCGACTGCCTCCACGACGTAACAGTGTGTCGTACTGTGGCGAGCATATGGGTTGGAGAACGTGGATGGGAGTCGCGTCTTCGTATTCCTCGGAGACGAATTTTGCTCTGACCAGCCTATGGTCGCTCCCAGTGCGGAATGCATCCACCACGCTGACGTCGAGCAGACTCCACTTCCTGTTAGTGAGAACGTGGTCGATTTCGCTGTGAGTCGTGGCATTCGGACTCTCCCACGTCCATCGCCATGAATCCCCTTCTTTTTTTGCTTAGAAAGCCTCTTTCCGTGAAGAGCTGTTGCCATCAAAACATTCGCCGTTCTCGTTTGTTTCTCTGGTTCTATGTAGACACCAATGCCCTCATGGATGACTGCGTTAAAGTCTCCGACAACATACTTTGTAGTAGGACCGTTCACTTTTTATCGTCTCCTGCAATTCCTTGTAGAACGCGTCCTTTTCTTCGTCCGTAGCTGCTTGACGTGCATAGCAGTTGATAATACTAACGAAAGTGCGCTTGTCGATGCGTAGACGTAGGATGGCCAGTCGCGGGCCGATCACTTCGACTGAATCGACCATGTGCTCGAGCCGATG